GACAGAAGAGAATGAAAGATTATCTGTGGAATATTACTGCCTCAGCATTTGCCTAAGTGATCCAAGGAAACCACAGAAAAACTTGGACCAAGGCAGACGAACAGACCCGGAATCGAACCGGCGTCCTCCCGAATGCTAAGCAGTGGTCTAGACCTCTAGGCCATGCCGCTCGGTGCCGTACTGAGGAATACACGGTTATTTATACAAACCCCAGTACCACGCAAGGGTTCGGAAAAGAGGGGTTGAGAGTGGGATGATGGTGGGGTGATAAGAGAAGGGCGAAAAGTAACGATAAAAACAAATTCGTTTTTATCCATAATTTCGCGGAAAAAAATAAAAAACTAACTATAGGAAACGACAGGACATGTATGAAAATATAGTGTTAGAAAGAAGAGCGGTGATTCTACGATAAAAAAGGAAAAAAAAAAAGAATATTGAACGATGAAAGCATGAGAAAGCCAAAAACAAAAAGAGAATAGAGAAAATGAAAGGCTTAGGTGGGCAACTACAACGAAATAGCGGGAATAAAAAAACAAGTAAAAGATAAATATATTAGTAAATTTAAAATAGAAGATAAAACTTGTTATTGTAAGTTTGGTTATAGCAGGGGGTAGTTCAGGTAGCCGGTGTCGCGTTAGCTCGGGGCTGTCGCTTGTTAGTCGCGGCCTGGGAAGCGAATTTAGCAGCCGAACAACGGAAAAGTTATTTCTTGGCAACGGAAGTGATGGGTTCAACTTACATGTCAGGAAGGTACGCTAATGTTTTAATAGTATATTTAAACATAAAAATAGAGAATAAAAAAAATAGAGATAAATGACAACTTAACTGTTTACATTGCAAGTTCTAAACCTAAGGACATATGTATGTATATATATGTACAGATACACTAACGCTCACCTTCATACTTAACACTGGAAACGATGTACAATCACTCTGTCAGTCATCCACAACACAAAACAGTCTGGTTCACTCGCGCACTACGTAGTCCCGAACAACGAGCGACGGCGTCGGCGGTAGTGGCGAGAGAAGGGGCGGCGGTGGTGTTGGCAGGGCTCCGATGGGTCCCAAGGTGCGGACGGAGAGCCGCGGAACCTTTGGCCGTGTCCGTGGAACCATCAAGGTGGTGCGTAGCGTCGCGACGTCAGCAGTTGGCGGCACGGCAGCGTTGGCAGCGGATAGCCATAGATTCGGCGCGTAGCCGGCGCTCAAGGTCTGGAAGACTGCGTCCAGAACCTGGTGGTAGGCCGTGCCGTAGGGTTGTGGCGTCGGTGTCGGACGGCAGCAAATCGACGATCTTTCTCACGTTAGCGGCGGCGGTATTCTTTTGCCGAGCGGCCTGCTCGTGGCATCAGAATGGCGTCGGTACTATCAGCGGCGTATAGGGTAGCTGCGGGAGCTAGGGGTAACTACTAGAGCTAGTGGTAGCAATGGAACCTAATGGTAGCTACGTGAGCTATGGTAGCTGTGAGAGCTAAGGGTAGCTACTAGAGCTAGGGGTAACTACGAGAGCTAGAGGTAGCTGTGCAGCTAGTGAGAAGGCGGAGTGTTCTGATTTTTCATTGTATTTTTTTTTTGGTTAGATTATACTCGAGGAGGGGAAATCTACAAAAGACACCCCCTGAAGAGAGGTAGTGTCTGATTCTTACCGACTAAAACCCCTCCTCGAGCGTGGATTGCTCATCCCCGGGAAGAAAGTGGAAAGCTGGGGATTGGGGATAGGGTTGAGATGGGAAATGGGTTAAGAGTGTGGGTAGAAGGGAGTGTTGGGGAATTGCAGTCTCGCCGAGAGAAGGTAAACCGGTTTAAATCAAAACTTGTGTGTTTCTGACGAACCAGAGGTAGTCAAGTGCGGAGCGAAGAATCCGCATGCATGTACCTCGCAAATGTTTCAGGCGATGGGGAAGGGCGCAGCCCCAGACGAGAATGGCATAGGAGCAAATGCTCCTGGTAATTGCGTTAAACGCACGTATTTTTGGTCTGGTGGGAGATTGTGTTATTACGGATGAAAGGTTTAAGTGCGATTAATGCACCCAGAGCCTTGTTACGGGTCGCTTTAATGTGGAGCCGCCGGTTTAGACATCTGTTTAAGACGACGTTTAGGTAGGTGACGGAACTGCTCCAATTAATGGGGCGGTTGTTGACAATGATGAAGGGAGGTTTTTGGATCCTACGAGAAAAGAAAATTGCCCCCGATTTGGTCTCATTAATGGAATGTTTCCGATACCAGTTTAGGAGCTGGGGTAGAAACCTATCGATTCTTGCTGTGCATTGGAGAATGGTACTTGAAGAGTTTATGATAGCAATGTCGTCAGCGTACAGGACAGTCAGAATTGAAGTGTGGAAGGGATGTCCGCGCAGAACAGGTTAAACAGGATAGGGGATAATTTGGAGCCTTGTGGGACACCGGCTATGACGGGTTTACTGGCAGAAAGAGCAGAGCCAACGCGGACCCGAAGGCTTCTGTCTGTTAGGAAGGACCTGATAACTAGGATGTGTGGGATGTTAAGGGCGATGAGTTTGGAAATAAGGTCTTCGTGCCAGACTCGGTCGAAGGCTTGTTGGACATCAAGAAGAAGCATGGAAGTGTGACGCCGCTTATTAAGGTTGTCGGAGGTGTGTTCGGTAACACAAAAAAGTTAGTGTCCGGTGCCGTCTTGCCTGCGGAAATCGTGTTGAAAATCAGGGAGAAGGTTGTTTTGCTCCACGTGGTCTAAGAGCCAATCGAGAAGGATGGATTCAACTACTTTGCTCAACGAACTGAGCAGGCTGATGGGCCTGTAGCTTGAGGGAGAGCTGAGGGGTTCCCTTTCTTGGGGAGACAGATGACAGTGGCCTCTTTCCAGACCAAAGGGAAATGGTGGAGCCGCATGATGACGTTCGTGATGTTGCATAGTGCGGTTATGTGCTTTGGTGGTAGGACTCCGTTCGGAATTCCGTCAGCGCCAGGGGCTTTTCTCTTTTTCAGAGATCGGATGGTGAGGAAGATTTCACGTGGGGACGTGTGCTTAAAGTTGCAAACAGTAGGGACGAAATTTTGAGAGCTGGCTTTGATTTTCTCGTGAAAATTGGCAAAATCCACAGGGCTGGGTTGTGGAGTGCACTGGAGACAGAGAGAGTCTGCAAAGATTGCAGCTTTTTCCTCATCTGTAGTGTATAGGGAACCATTTTATTTTAATGGTTGGAGATGGGGAGCTTTGTTTCGGAGAGAGCGGATCACTTTCCAAATGCTTTTGGGGTGCAGTTCTGCTTGAGCGATGTATTCGTCAAATGAGGCGCTGCGGGATTCCGTTAGGCGAGTTTTGAGTTCTCGCTGAATGGCGTTTAGTTCAGCACGATGTGCGGGATTGTGGTGTTTTTGCCACAGGCGGCGGGTTCTATTCTTCCTCTTAAGAAGGGCAAGATCATCTGGTGGGAGGGTTCAGTGTTTAGTGGGCGTGGGGCCGGCGGAAGTGGAGATCTCGACTGCGCTGGTAATCTCGTTTGAAAGGAGATTCACAGCTTCGTCAAGTTCCGCTATTGTACGAACTGGAGTGAACGTGAATGAAGATGTTTCAAGGATGTAACGAAGGTGGAGCCAATCTAGTGAGGTGGTTGGGTTTGGGGGGTTGAGGATTGGGCGGCCGACTTCAATAAGGGCTGGAAGGTGGTCTGAGCTTACTGCGTCTGTGACGATAGGATCGAAAATGTCAAGAATGTCAGGGAATTGGTGGAGGGGGGCAGGGAGGATTGTAGAGTCAGAGGGTGCCTCAACTGTGAGGTTGAAGTCAAGAATTTTGGTAAGAAGGAAGGTGCCTTTACTGTTGATTTGTCGACAGCCCCAAGAAACGTGTTTGGCGTTAAAATCGCCGGCGACAATGGTCGGAATGCCTGGGGGAGTAGAAGGGGGAGTTCAAAAAGGTCTCTGTCCGAAGGGGGGGAGTAGAAAGAGATAATCCTAAGAGGGCCGGTGGTTAACGAAATTTCGCTCCCGCCTGTTTCTGACGAGTTTGTGGCCAAAGAGATAGGCCTATGCTTTAATGAATTCCTAACAAGAATGGCGACACCGCCGGCACTGCTGTGTTCCCGGTTCCTTCTATAGGATGAGAAATTTGGGACGAAAAGTTTGATTTTTTCGGACAGGTGAGTTTCGGTGATGCAAGCAACACTGATTGACTTATCCTCGAGGAAGTGCTCAAGTTCGGTCAATTTACCTCTAATGCTTTGCGCATTCCAGGTAACTATTCGAAGGTTATGTGGCTGGGCTGTATTACACATTGGTGGGTGTTTGAAGGACGGCGACCAGACTTGCTACCATCGTTTGAACGATGGCCTGGATTCTCTGATCAAGAGAAGAAGTTGAAGGGGTGTTTGGGGACGCAATGCGTTTTTGGGGAGGAGGGGGCGGAGCTGCTGTCACTGCCCTGGCGTAGGATTTTTGGGAGAGCGTCCTTCCGAGAAGGGCTGTTGGGCGGGGCGCTGCTTGAGTGGACTTTTGGGGATTGGGAGGGGGCGGCTCTCGTTGGAACCTTTGGGCAGCCGCGGTATGTGGCAGGATGGTTGCCTTTACAATTGGTACAAGTGGGAGTGGCATCCTTCTTGTCCTTGGTTTTGCACTCTGGGGTTATGTGGTTACGACCACAGTATGATTTATTATTAAATATTTTAAATAACGTTGTTTCGGCACCAACACGACAGCAATTTTTTACCAATCGAATGGAAAAAATAAAACTAGCAAGAATGTTCAATATATACCGCTTTTCGTTTTAGTGCCGAAGCATCGCCCTATGTATACATAAGTATTTACATTAAAAGGCAGAAAAATATATACAAAATAATAAAAGTACTTTGAACCGAAGTTCGCAATTGAAGTTTCTATATACATATTTACATAAACCCCGAATACAATATATTGCGAAATTTTGAATTTTGTTTGTCCCCGTTAATAGCAATTACTTTGGTAGCACAACGTCGAACGCGCGCGTAGCTATCTCGTGATGAGTGACTCACGGTAACGTCGAACGAGAACACGCGAATGAATGAGAATTTGACGCAACGAACGTTCGAGTGGAGGCTCGCACTTTCCCGAAGCCAAATGTTTTGGAGGTTCCGAGTCCTGGTGCTGTTCCATTCCGCCGCGCTTGTGTTTGACAACGGGGTGGCCGTTTTGGGGGCGCAGGCTTCAGTCTTCCAGGCTCTTCCGGTCCGCAACCGACGCGGTGCTGGTCCATTTCCGCTATCCTGTTGGTCGCCTTCTCTGTATGGTCCGTGGCTGGGTGATGTAGACGCGCAGGCTTCATTGTTCCGCGTCGTTTTGACTCCAGAATGGCTCCACGGGGGCGCGTACGCGACCGCGACCGCGAACAATAGAAAAACGCGAAACCGAACGCGAACAGAACGCGAAACCGAAGCAAACGAACACGAGTACAGAGCGCGCACAACACGAGGGCATTTTAATTGTCAATTTTTAATTTTTCGACGCGACCCGAAGTGCGTCCCACCAGTCCCTCTCGTTCCGCAGCTGTGTGACCTCCCGATAGTTGGTTGGCCACCTTAAGCCGTGAATCGCGAGGGCCCAGTCGGCGGCGCCGCGATGTTGTTCAACTATGTCGCACTCGAACAGGACGTGTTCCGCCGTATCGGTGCCACCGCATTCGCAAATGTCGTCCTCGATTTTGCCGATACGCTTCAGATATGATTTAAAATTCCCGTGTCCTGTCATCAGTTGAACCATGTAGAAGTCGAAATTCCCGGTGATCTTTCTGTCGTAACAGGGTTCCGGTAAGAAGCTCGCCGTAGTCCTACCGGTTGTAGCAGTCCTCCATCGTTCTTTCCAAGCCTCTAGAGATAAAGTACGCCATCGTCGTTTAACGACTGCTCTGGGCACCAGGTCGTAGATTGGTGCTGTCGCCTGGTCAGTGGCTGCGGCCTTCGCAAATTCATCCGCAGCGTCGTTTTTCGCATTACCAGAATGCGACGGTGTCCAATGGAAACGTAGGGAAATTTTGGCGGCCAAGTTGACCGCGAGTTCCCACGTCTCCAGTTGTAAAGCGGTCGGTTGTTTCATATTGCGAAGAGCCGTCAAAACAGACAGGCTGTCCGTAACGATAGAGCACTCCTTGATTATGTCCGTTTGCCCCTGTAGATGTGTTAGGGCCTGTCGTAGTGCTACCATTTCGCATTGAAAGATAGTACTATTTTCCGCGAGGGTGAAATTTTCCTGATGAATTTCCGTATCGCCGTGGTAGAGTATGAAAGATCCTCCAGCTCGTCCGTCGTCCAATCTCGATCCATCCGTATAGCAGACAGTCTCGTAGGCATTTTGGACTCCTTCCGTAAACAGGATGCGTAGTGTCCGCCAGGTTGACACGTCGTTCGAGCTGTCGGTCCTGGAGTTGTACATCAATAATGTCGTTGTCGCGTGGTAGATCAGCAAAAAGTCTGTACTTTTTGGCTGTTTCCTGCAACAACAAATCTACTCAAGACGAAAGCCGCTTCCGTAGATATGGTGCGATACGCCGCCGCTGCTTTTACAAGTTCTTTGCGCGCTTAAAAGAGATCTGCATTCTTTTACTTTACACCCATCTGCCAAATCGGTGTTCGTGACATACTGTATATGAGGTTTCCACGACAATTTTTCATCAATAAAAATCCCTTGATATTTTATGCTCTCAGAGCAATGTACGAAACGCCCGTTGAAATTAAATGCAGGTCTCTGTTGATTAATACTTTTCCCAACAAAAAGCGCTTCTGTTTTTCCCTCGTTAAATTTTAATTTTAGATCGTCAGCCCAATTTGACAACATACCGAATGCTTGGTTTACAGTGCTTTTCAAAACTTTATGTTATGTTCGTAGGGAATTGTGGTGTAGGGTTACTGCAGTAAGCGTACACAGAGTTATCACAAATTTCTATATTTATCAACTGATACAGAATAGGTGGTGAGTACATACCGAGTGTCCTCGGCTGCTTAAACGCGGTCTGCCTGTGGCAGCGTTAGCCTGAGCGCGCGCACCTTTCTTGCTGCGGCAAGAGTACACACGCTCACACATACACGTACAAACGGTATGCTTCACGCATACACAACACTTCCCCCACGAAAAATGAAGGAAGTGACGGTATAATATTTTTAAACAATGTCACTTAATCCTAATTCTGAGATGTTTTTTACAGGATTACCATATAAATCAGGCGCTTTAACATTCCTCTTAGGCCTATTTATAACTGCAGGTGACACCTCAGATTCGTCGCTCGTAATCTCAACGACCTCATGCGATGCATCAGATTTTTCGGACTGGTTATCGAAAAATAAAGGTAAATCCATAACAGGATCATTTGGAGAACTTGTGCTAGGACCACCCGAAAAATCCGGCACATCTGCATTTACAGAACTTTCATTTTGAGCAACGGGCTCAACAGTACTCGCCCCGAGAATCAACCTCTCCTCGGGTGGAATATAAAAATCCCAATCATCATCATCAGCCTTCTCAAACGCACTTGAGTTTCGCATATTCCTCGCTGATCTAATTTGATCGACATGCCTCCTCCANAAACAAAGTAAATTTCACACCGTAAAGATACTGGTGCAATTTCTTTACCGCAAAAACTATCGCATAAGCTTCCCGATCAATTTGACTGTATTTTGTGCTTGGACTGCATTTAGCGTTTGCGAAACGCAAATAATTGGCCTTTCCGAGCCATCCTCAAATTTATGAGACAAAACCGCGCCTACTCCCGTCGGGCTTGCATCCGTCGCAAGTATCAATGGCTGGAATCTGTTATAATAATTTATAAACGCTATAAAAGAACGTAACTCTGTAATATTCGTAGGTTTTGGCATCTTGGCTAGCGCTTCTATTTTGGAAGGATCCTTGTGGATACCATTAGCATCAATAATATATCCACAATATTTAATCGACTTTTCAAAAAATACACATTTACTTAACTGTATTTTAATATTGTGATCATTCAAAATTTTCAAAACCTTATTTAGTAAATCAACAAGACCTTCCAAGGTAGAAACGGCCAACCTAATATCATCCTGAAAAACGCGAACGCCCTTAATTTTTCCAAAAAGGAAATTCATATTCTCTTCTTCTCAAATCAGCTGACTCTTTGTCAACAGGCAACTGCAGGTATGCTTTCGAACAATCAATTTTAGCAAAACATTTACAACCTGCTAAATCGGCAANTTTTGGAATGCTATTTGCATTCTAAGCAGGTGTTATGGTAACTTCAAAAGTATATTCTACAGCTCTGGACACTATGCCAGGAATTTTGTCTATACTGAGCATTGTAAATGTTTTTGGTACAAGAATTGTTGTAATAGAAGTGTAGTATTCATTGTTATGGTTGATAATTTGAGCTTTTTTAAAATCCAAATCAGCTGTACCCAACAGCCTTGTTTGAATCTTCTTGCTGCTAAGACCAAACACAAATTGATTTCTAAGGGCCTTATCTAAATGGGTACCAAACTTACATTTTTTTGCTAGTTTGCACAGATTAGTAACAAACTCTTGAATTGACTCACCTTGCTGCTGCTTTGTAGAGTTAAACTTGAAATTTTCAGCAATTTCTAATAACTCTGGTGAGTACAACGTTTTTAATTTACCGGTGAAAGCTTTGTAGTCAAGGCCGGTGACTTCCTCCTCACAATTATCACTTAGCGTATTAAACGCTTCTTCGCCAATGTAATGTAGAAGATACACTGGTTTTTCTTTTTCATCAGCTTTCATGATTTTGAACGCTGTTTCAAAACGTTGTAACCAGCGCTCCCATGATGCGGAGTTTGGTACAAAAGGTTCTAGTTGCAAAATAATAGGGCTAGAACTTTTATTTTCATCACCACCACCCATTTTTACTTTTCTTCAGGCGGTTGCACTGAGATGCTCCAAGGTTGCGCTAAGCTTCCTTTAGGTAGTTTGGTATTGACTTCTATTTAAAAAGAAAAATCTTCGCAACACTGGTAGAATTTCCAAAATAAATTCACTTTATGTCTGCACCAACCAGTAACAAACTTTCGACGATTTTCAGCTTTGTCCGAGCAAGAATGATGCACGACACTTGATTTTAATCTTTTTATTATTTCTCAATCTCGTGATTATTTCACTCAAAATTACGAAATATTTGTTCAGAACGAATGCAGCACTGTATAAATGTTAATATTTATGCACAATTTATTGCCAAATATGAAAAAATTGCTATCGAAACAACACCTGTCGGCCCACGTGGCTCGACTAGGTTAGGCAATTTTCACCACCGCACAAATTCACAAAAAAAATCAACCCATGTGATTTTCAATCCATAAGTGAATTTAATATTACGCACAAGACAGCAGTGCGCAATATTTACGAGACCAACACTCGAAAAAAAAACTCTATTCAGGAAGTCCACGTGGATTAACCAGGTTACAAACACGTGGAATATTAATACCATCCAAAAACACTTACTGCTACAATCCTCGTCGCCAGTTTGTTGTGTTCGTAGGGAATTGTGGTGTAGGGTTACTGCAGTAAGCGTACACAGAGTTATCTCAAATTTCTATATTTATCAACTGATACAGAATAGGTGGTGAGTACATACCGAGTGTCCTCGGCTGCTTAAACGCGGTCTGCCTGTGGCAGCGTTAGCCTGAGCGCGCGCACTTTTCTTGCTACGGCAAGAGTACACCCGCTCACACTTACACATACAAACGGTATGCTTCACGCATACACAACACTTTCTATTGATGCGCTTCGACAAGCAAGGCGTCGTCGGCAAATGAAAATATTTTTAACCCAGCCGGTAATTGAATATCGAAAATGGTGTTGTACATGATTTTTTACAATCGCGGTACCGGAAATTGCAACAACAGGTGTTCTATTACTGAAATAATTTTGCATTAAATTAACTAAAGTCCCTGAAATGTTACGCTTTTTTAATTCCAAAATTATACGCGGCCACCAAGCATTGTCAAAGGCTCCTGAAATGTCTAGTGCAATAGCAGCGACGTAGTTATCGTTATCGCGAGAGTTTTTTATGCTTGTTATGACTGCATTTACAGCGTCTGTGGTGGACCGTCCTGGAACGAACCCA